ACTGGGAGACAAATTTTGTGTCGGAATAGACAGGGTGTCGGATTGCACAGTGTTAAAAACAAGGAAAATACTAAAATGGGAAAGAAATTTAACGTCGGAATTCACAGTGTGTCGGATTATTCAGGTGTCGGATTAGACAGTTTTCACTGTAGATACAACATTAAATGGATCATTGGAACCCTACCTCTCCATCTTTTGTCACTGACTTTGATGTTTTCTCTTTCCTTTTTTTCTTCTTTGTCATCTTAGATTCAGCTAGTAAAGTGATAAGTTTAAAAATGTAATGTTCATCATATATTAATACACACATTATAATCAGATCATCATTTTTAAAAACACCTTTTGATAAATACTTTATACCAATGATTTTAAAAAGAGATAATTTTGAAAGACTTATCCCCACATCCCCCTTGGAATATACCCAAAACACAACTTGATCAAGATATTCATATGATAAATCTGTATACCAAATGGCATATTTCAGTATGTGCAACCTTTGCAAAGAAAATAAGTTGAAACTGTTGGTGGACCAACAGACAGACAGAAACAAAGCAATGTACTCTCCTTTCTTCCAAGGGGGGTGGAGGGCAAAACAATTACGTTTGCATGTCATGTCTCAATTTGAGTTTAATGTGTACATCTCCGAGATAAATTTATCTGTAGATTATGTAATGATGTGTATGTCCAATTTATATCCACTTTCTTTCAGATCTAAGACATCATACCATTCAGTAATTATTCCAGTAAGTCTACCTTTTGGTTTTCTGTCTTCCTCATCACTGTCCAGACTCTGTTTGAAGAATGAATCCTCCTCTACCCCAGCTGGTAGATCGTCATCACTGAAGGCGGCCTTCTCCTCTGGTTCTTTATCACTTGTCATCTGGTCAACATCAGAAGAAAAAGTTGTTAATATCAATAGGGAATATTCTCATGAATACATACTGACTACACTTGAAGATTTAGACTGCATAAACAGGGCAAAAGATTTACAAAACAGTCAAAAAGATCTCTCTCTCTCTCTTACTTTTCTGTTCATTCTTTCTTCTCTCTCTCTTACTTTTCTGTTCATTCTTTCTTCTTTCTTTCTCTGTCTCTTTTCTTTTTTCTTCATCAGATACTGGTCCCATGGAGTTTGATCTTTCGTCTTCTCTTTATGTTTCACAATCTTCTCTGTTGTTTCTTTTAATCCTTTCAAAGATAATTAATTCAGAGGAATTAGTCTTCACTGCTTAACGACTATGCACTACACTATTGACAATGCTGAATAAAGGTTAAAAAGTAAAACACTTGATATCCTTCTTGAAAGAACAATTTAGGGTGAAACATTTGTTGAAAAACTTTATTCTGCTTACATATGTATAGACAGACCAGCATGCAACATATAGGATGAATGACCAAAATAATCATAATTCTTCCTAAACTATTCCATTTCCTCCACCCTACAATTCAACAAATAATGACCAAGTTTGATAGTTTTTGGTTGCTATGGATACCTGGTTCCCACGTGACCTCCATTTCGACCTCTTTCTTTTTCTTCTGGTCTTTGTCGTCATCTAACGACTAGAGGAGACTGCGGTATTTCTCTATCTGTCTCTCCTCATTGTCATCTTCATTATCATTGTCATCATCAACAACATCTAGTATAAAGGTAAGAAAATAAATGTAGTTAAAAATAAGGAGCTTGGCCATGTTTAATCATGGTGTTAGTATGTTTTACAGTACATTTCTACAGTATGAAAAAAATCATATAAAGGCTATGAATTAGGGGGATGTACAAGCCATATTGGATCTAGTCTGGTGTAAAATAAGAAATACCAAGAATGCGCTTAATACTCTACTAAACTAGCCCAAAGTTACTCAAAGTGCTAATGCACTAATTACCTACTATTAGAGACCAAAATCAGTTAATAATTAAGTTTATTTTGTTTTAATTAGGAGGAAATTAATCATGTTAGAACTGCGCAGCTACAGCATTCACGAGATGAAAAATGCATTGAATATAATGTTAGTTTGATTCATTGATAATATGGCTACAACCATTTGTTTCGCGTTTTTCTTGTCATTATCCATAATTCTTGAAAATTTGATTTTTCATATGGGTGTCTTCCTGAGGCCATGTGTTTATTTCGTCCGCCATTCCTCTGTGACACAGAGTTCGAATAGCATTGGTTTTAGAATAAATGCGACCATAATAACATCAAGACAAGAAATTACTAAGTAATAATCATTAGGTTATATTACTGACTACTTTTATTTGTTGCATTGCATCGTCTGATTAATGAAAAAAAAGCGATTTTAACCCCACTCCAGCAAATCGGGAAAAACTGTTCTGTTTACAGCTCGAGTTTCCTCGATAATATCATTCCACTGAGCACGTGGTTGGCATGTGCATATATCTGCTGTGGATAGATGAGTTTATTACCATGATTATATTTAATTTTTCATGGAACAAGTCTTGATGATTTGTTGGTTTCATTAAAACTCAAGAAAAAAGATAAAACATGTCCTAAACATATGTGATTACGGCGGGTCTTTTTTCTGTGGCGATAGAAGTTATTTTCAAATGGGGCACTGCAAGGAGGATGCTTAGCATTTAATTTGAAAATTTTAAACAATATGCGGTGCATGAAAAACAAATTGTAATTACATGTCTTACATTCGAAAAGTTGGTACATGTGTCTATTTTGTTTAGCAGTTAGATAGAAAAAATAGGCAGTTATAGGATTTCCTTCAGGCACCTCACATAAATAGCTAGATTGTTTGCAATGAACCACACATTGTATGGAGTAATGTTTGGACATAAAAACGCATCATGTCTCATTATGTTGACAACATTGTAAGCTCTCGCTCATTGAACATACGAAGCTTGATAAAATATATTGAGTTGTTTCTTTGAAATTTAGAAGCAAGCACAATGTTTGCAAAGAAAAGTCCATTGCATATGCTATGTCTATATCACGCAAAAAAAATGAGAGGCTACCCCCCCCCCCCCCTTCCAAAAAAAAATCCTATGTTTGTTTTTCAAAATAGTGCCAAAGATTTAAAAATTTTGCATTACTAAGTATGTGATGGAACATGTACTAGCCTTATAAGACAATTTGTTATAAAAATATTTGGTTGCCCTCTCTCCCGATCTACTGCCTAGAAATGGCCCGACTCATTTTTTTTACATCCCATTACATGTTTTTTTTTTCTTCCGTCAACGAATATGTTTAAAATTTTAGGAATTTTTTTCTCACCTATAAATACGGACCCAATAATTTTTCCCTGAGTTGGGAGGACCACCAAACGTCATTTTAAAGATGGTATAAAATATTTATTAATGTTGATTTTTTTTCTTTACTCTGTAAAATTGTAATTTTGACAAAAAGGGCAAATAGAAAAAGTTTTTTTTATTCATTATATCTCCTAACCCACTCTGAATGATTTCATTCCTTTTCAAATGTTGCTCCGCTAAAATCAAAATTGTAAATGTTTATTTGACAGAGTATACGAGGGTAGATCAAAAAGTAAACGATATATCTTAGGTATTTGATAGTTATATTATTGTTGAAATATTCAAGTATTTTTCAAAGTGTAAATTGGAGGTCTTTGATAGCATATTGCTTAATTAAAAACACATCCCTTTTCAAACTTGCTAATATATCACTGGGCAATATAACAAGTATCATATTTAACTTGCCTTCCTTCACTAAAACGATCTATCAATCATTGATTGAATTTGTAGGAAGGGAACAATATAAGGCAAGTATATATCATATGTTAACCATCTGCCTTCCTTGCACTAAACTTTATTCAGCATATCTATCCAAATTCATTGATTGAATTTGTAGGTTGTAAACTATAGTTTACATTTGTAACAACGTTAATAAACTATGAACGCGATAATCTATGTTTTAAACTATACTTAACACCGAAAACAATCATTTGCAATTGCAAAACTACTTCAAAGGCATTTTTAAGATATACCATTTGTGAAAAATATTTTAGTCGTTTGTTAAACGTGAATCTATGTTTATCAGCAAAATCTATTGTTAACGGCAACCATTAACTTTCGTCACAAGTACCGTTAAATATGCATATACTTAACGAATCGTCATTATGAGCAAAACTAGTTTATATTGTCAGCATATATGCTATTTTATAGAACTTGTGTTTGGCTATGTGTGCACCAAATTTGTTTCTAATCTGAATTGTGGTTTTGTAGATATATAGAGATAGTTCGCGAACTTTTTGATCACCCCTCGTACAAGTAGGTACTAAATCAAGGTCATTCATATCGATTTTATGTGTCTAATTTCTTTGTGTTTCATTGGTGATAATTGAAATTTTGATATATATTATATGTTATCTGTGGCAAACTTACAAACTCTTAATTCTTAACTTTGATGGTGCTCATTTTCCTTACCTGGAATCAAAGAGTTTAAGATTTTTATCTTTGATATCAATAAGTACATTATTTAACAACTGTTCGATAATAATACTAAATAAATTACTTCAAGCCATACTATAACACATTTCCTCTTTTAAAAGTGTTCATACTATTTGAAATATTTTGCAACTGTAATTCTCTTCTACATTTAAAGATTGTTATGTCCCTCCATATTAAGAAGAGGTCTGGAAAACAAAATTCTGTGCTAAAAATAGACCACGTGCTGCTATCCATGAACTACTTTCATGGTTCTTTAAACTCTTTTTGAAGACAACGATACCTTGTTTTGAACTTGAAATTATCATTTAAAAGTGCAAAATTTAGACATTTTCTCAACAAATGGTTGTAGAGAGAACATTGATGCACAGTTTGCATATTTTTTTGGATTTTTTAAGGCTCTGCTGAATTCTGTAGCTGCGCAGTTCTAAGGAGCATATCAAAAGCATTTTTCTGCAAAATTATAGGTTATATATGCACAACATGCATTCAGTTATGAATATTTATTGTATCTTTATCATAAGGACTTAAAATTTGATCAAAATATGATGTATTTTAGCCATTTGAAGAAATGTTTACATTTTGTTCTCACAGCACTAAAGGTGGCCGTACATCCCCCTTGAACATTCTGAAAATAGTAAATTCAATAAACTTCAAGTAACATTTCTTAGTTGTTTCCATTATAAGAAAATTGCAACAGTAATTTTTCTTCATATTTTTTTGTATATTTTGCTGACTTTTTTTATAATATATACTGAAAGGAAAAAAGAAACGCAGGGTAGCATAATAATCGATAAAAATTTGATCATATGACCGAAAATTGCGAAAATTGGTCAGATGGGAAATTTAGTTACTGTGCATCCAAATCAGTATTCAAAATTACTCAACCGTAAAATTTATGACGTCACGTAGGGAAAACGCTAAAAAGCCCAAAACACGTGCAATTTGATAACGACGTGTTTGTCCACAAATCTTGTTGCATTATTTGATGCATATGAGGTATGCACATCGTATTTCAATATTAAGAGACATTATGAATTTATTGCAATCTTGGAACAGTTTACAGAAGTTCAATGGGGTCTTGTTTTCGAATTGCCTAATTAATGAAAAAAGCAACAACGGTTAACTAAGAAGTCACTTGTAATTTTTCCCCCATAAAACTTTTTAGCCGTTGTCAGAGAGGGTATGGAATGGTTTTCAATCAACCGTGACGATGACGTTAACGCAAAACAAAGCCATGCTACGAGCAAATTATTCGTCCTGCCATCTCTTATATTGTCACCTTACTACCACAAAAAGAGCCATTTATAGTGTACGCAATTAAAATTATTACATTTATACGAAATTTGAAAGAAAACAATTTCGCAATTTGTTTTTTTGAGCCAGTTAATTTACAGTTGTATTCCTCTCACTGGCGCATGCGCTGAAGCTTGACTTATTTTTTTGCGTGGTTACCCATGCTAAATATAGCCAGGGTTTGAAAGATAAACACTCTGATGAAATTCCATGCAAAGGAGATATAAAACTCTAACAGATGCACGAGATGGACATTGAAGATAAAGAGAGTTTTCGATTTCCCCTTTGGGGGGTATCGTCATTTGAGTTTCAATTAACTCATGAATAATTACACAAAATCCTATGAGAATTTGGTTATATCTTTTTGAAAGATGATTTTAAAAGTTAGATAGGAAAACTAAAAAGTATTTTTAAGAAAAACAAATTAAATTCACCTCAAAAAATTACCCTGCGTTTCTTTTTCCTTTCAGTATACATGTATTGGTGTAAAATCTTCTGTACCTCTGTCTTTCTCTTCCTCGGAGCTGGACGGCAGATAAACCCGGAAACCACCTCATTGACATCATCCGTCTTCTTCCTTTGTGACAAGTTATTCATGGTCACTTTGATTCGGTCCTGGTCTGTTTCATCCCAGGTTAAATTCACCTATATTATATTACAAATTTATCACACTGATTAAAGAAATCTAGGCATATGAACTAAGATGATTTCATACCGATACTGTTTTAAATATTAATCTGATACATTGAAGTCTGACCTTTGACGTGTCACCATTAAAGTGTGACCTTTTACCTGACACATTATATTAGGATCTGACCTTTGACTGGGCCAGGGCAGTTGAGACAAACAATGAGGGATTGTAGGCAGCAGACATCTCTGTACACACGGACTTAGATTCCTCTGTAAACTCCATGTCGTCTGGTATAAACCTGTCAAATGTATATACATCATATAATATGCATGAAGTCGTGGAGAAACATTTTAAAATCATTTCCCTGAAGATGCATTTTGTGAAAGAGGACTTAGGCTTATTTTTGTAATCCTTGTATAAATCCTTGGATTCATCTGATAGGATACGATTTTATGTTCTCAGTATAATGTATGCCGATCCCAGTCTTTGCGAATCATTTTACTTTTTTTAACTATTTAAAAAAAAACAATTTATATCGTATAATTTGTTTAAATTGTATATTTATGTAAGTTGAAATGCCTTTCGGGACCCCTGATTGGTAATAAAAATATCTGTTATTTTGTGCACGTACTTTTGATTGATTAATAAAATATCCTCAGATTTTGTTCACGTATTTTTGATTGGTAAAAATATGCATTTTGTACATGTATTTCATTGATTCGTAAAAAAAAAAACTTGTAATAAACATATGGAGATAACGAACAGTATTCAATCTCAGAACTCCATAAAACAATACAGAATAGGAGCAGAGCAAATACGGCCTGCAAAACGTGAGGGTGGGATTAGGTCCACGGAGGAGTGAGCATACACTGCTGACCGGTCACGTGTGTTCCGTGTGATGATGAGGAAATAACGGAAAAGTCTGTAGTCAATTCAGTGTACATAAATAATTTGCAAACAAATAGTATGAAAAACGTCAGTCAGCATTTGACTCAATGATAAAGTTTAATTGCTGACAAGGTCATTGTTTCGACCATAGAACTTAAGAAAGGATGACTTTAAACAAGACTGCTGTTATTCTTGTTTCATCAACTTTTTTGTCAATAATTTACTTCTTAGAAATTGTTCATACTAAGAGCATGTTTTTGTGTTTTGAATCAACTGAGATATATAAACTATTGGAATTCTCATGGGTACCAATTTCGCTCCGTTATTGGCAGACCATTTTTGTATTCATATATGAAGCAGAGTTTGTGCAAAATTGTATACATGAAAAGAAGAAAACACTTGCTGTGGTCTTCAACTCGACATTTAGATATTTAGGCGACGTATGTCAATTAACAACAACAGAGATTATAATTATCTCGCCAAAATGAGATGTCGCTAAAATTCCGTAATCTACAGTAATTAAATATCTAAAATATAACTTGAATCAAACATTTTATTTAAAAAAATCGCACTCATTGATAAAACATGTAGTGTCTATGGGCAAGCAATTCTTTGGAATGCAACGTAGAGGTTGTATTTAAAAGAATACGTTTTTTTCTGTTCTGAAATATACTTTTTAATTCACTGTAAACTGGTGTATTAACTTTACTTCAGGGTAACATTTACAAGCGATGGACCCCCGTACCAGTGCCCAGGATGTGATGCGATGTGACCTGTGTGAGACCGCTGTGGTACAGATGCACTGTGATACATGTCTTGTCAACCTGTGTAAGGCCTGCGTGGGAGAACACATGATATCTGATCAAACCAAGAAACATGAAATTGTCCCATTTCGGTCTAGGAAATCTACCCTCCTTTACCCTCGATGTAAAGTTCATGCAGATAACAGTTGTGAGTTTCATTGCAAGGAATGCGACATTCCAATTTGCTCCTCTTGTATTGCCTCCAAAAACCACAAAGAGCATGACCTCCACTTGCTGGGAAAGGGCATCCTTGCCAAGAAGAAAGCAGAAATTCGAAAAAAGAAATTCATGAATTAGAGGAATCCATCTATCCAACCTACCAGGACATTGCCTCTGATGTACAAAACAGAATGAGTCGGTTAGAAAAGGAATATGGAGATCTCTCAATAGCCATAACAAAACATGGAGAGGACTGGCACACAGAA